TTTATTTGCGACGATTAATTGCTTTTTGTGCAGCTGGCCAGATGGAGGATCTTAACTTTTTATTGGTTTATGGAAGCACTAAAGGAAGTTATAATTGTTCTCATAAAGCGTATCCAAACTGAGTTGATTTTGTACAAGAATATCTATGGACTTTCTTTGGATTTTATGATTCTTCGTAAAACTATTTTCCCCACACGTGTGAGTTGACGTAAAAAAGGTGATGCAGGGCGGACCATTATTTGGCAAAAAGTCGGCTTCGGGGGCATAACTGGAAGGCAATCATTCGTGATACGTGGTCGCATGGCTAGTTCTGCAACGGCATACTCAAAATCTATTAGATGAAGAAAAAGAAAAAAAATGTCTTTCGAATAACGTATTTCTCTATTACAATTTCTTTATGTCTGTATTAATTTTAAATATTAAAAGAAAGGATAAGGGATCCTGAAGTCTTATTTACTCTCTTTTCAGGATATTAATTATTCTGGATTTTACAAAAATATAGAACATATTGAAAAAAAAGTTTCTCTTGTAATAAGTGTGTTACTTCATTAAAACGGAACAGGTTGATGCCGGTATACTTTTTGGTCCGTCCCGAACTAGCTATTTGTAGATAAATATCATATCTTTCTATAAAATTAAGACGAGTTCCTTTTATTTCGGAGATATGAAAGATTAATAAAAAACCGATTGTAGTTGTTAATATTTGTCAGGAGTTTTGATCCATGATAGCCAAAACATTGAGAAATTGGGCGGACCTGGTTGTTCAGGGACGGTCGAACTTTTCTGTCCATGGACGAATTATATTAACATGCATTTTCAATGTTGAAATTTTAATCATTTGTAAATTTTTAATATACGGCCAATTGGGATGTAATATATCGGTGTATTTCCTACAAGGTTCGATTCTATGGCCATTTCTCTTTTATACAGCTCTAAACGTAATGTTTCTCCATGGTGTATCGTTACCTGGAGTGCTGGAGGGTTTGAAACTAGCCCTATTTTTTATATATCATGATGTCTCTATACAGTTTGGCAGCAGGGGGTCCCCATACGGTTTAATACTAAGACCACTACTCTTTTACATGTGTTTAACTAATGAAATTTGAAATTTGTTTGAACTGTGATGTCTAACGTCATGGAATATGGTTGCTGGGGTGGCACAGGGCTTGATTCTGCGGCCCATATTCTTTTTTTTACCTGCCTGTCCAATAAATTTTCTAATTTTTCTGAATCATTTAACTCCACAAAGTTGTTATCTTTCACTAAAGTAATTTTGTGGTTTAGTACATGCCAGCCCTCTTTTTCGCACACACGTAGTTGAAGGAATTTTATGGTTTGACCATGTTAACCCACCTCTATACAGTATGGCGTTGGAGGGCCCACTTCGTTTAATCATAAGACCATCTTTCTTTACCATGTACTTAACTAAAGAAATTTGGAGCTGGACTGTTGGAGAATAGGCCAATATTTCTTTGTACATACCTGGCAAATGAAATTTTATAGTTTGGAGTTCACTCCGCAATGTAATGGAAAGAGAGGTTTCAAAAATTTGATCTTTAGGTCAACCTCTTTTTCATATCTTTGACTTAAAGAAATTTCCATGGATTGGTCACCGTGTCAAGCCACCATATAATATGGGTGCTTGGGTTACACGGGGATCAATTTTAAGACCATTTTTATTTTAAATATACGTACATTTATTGGTATATTAGTGGTATTATTATTCGTTCCTATGATACATTACTGATACTATGATGCTTTTCGCTAACTGGGATTCCCTTCCACAATGCAATAGAAAGCTTGGATCCCACAGGAATGTGTCCAAAGATCATTGTTTACCATATACCAAAGTAAAATTTTGTTATAATTTTCACAAACTATGTTGATTTTTAAAGAAATGTATTAATTTGGTCATGATGCCTCTCTCTCTCTCCCGTATTTCACCTGGGGTGCCACAGGGTATAATCCTAAGCATAATATATCTAACTCAAGAAATTTCTCAAGAACTATGGTCTATAGGTCGAGTAATGAGGTTGCTGGAGTGCCACAGGACTTCTTTCTTTGGCCAATCTTCGATTTAATAGTAATGCCACCCCGATTTAACATGTACCTTACCAAAAAAATTTGTATTTTGTTTTCAAAGTGTGATGTGTCACTCCACAAGTAATGGAAAACGGGTCTCGCAGGGTTCGATACTCAACCATCCCTCTTTAAAATATACCTAAGAAATCTTAAGGTCTGTTGAACCAATGTCCTTCCATAATTCAGTATAACTGCTGGAGTGAACAGTTTGATTCTTAGGCCATTCTTGTTTTTAATATATATATATAAGTAAAGAATTTTTATCGCCTTGCTATGATGACTCTCTTCTGAACAATATCACAGCTGGGGTTCCTTTCTTTGGTCCCACACGTGTTGATCCTGAAGCACTTCTTTAAAATTTACCTAACTAATTGTATGGCTTTATTGAAACTGGGTCGCAAAGTAATGGTAAGCCGGGACCAGGGTTGGCACAGGATTTAATGATTGTAAAGGCATTGGTTGCTTACTGTTTTTCGAAGTTTGTCCGGAATTCGATTGTTTGATGTACGACCGCCTGTTCTCGCTATATTCAGCCAGTAGCAATTAGCAGACTGGCATATTCTACTCCAAAAACAAGAACAAGTACAAGGAATTGAAACAGGAAGATGGAAATCAAACCTCCTTCGATCAAACACAATTTGTCAAGTCATGAGTCCGTTATAAAACAATCTAACCTGTGGCATTAAATAGTTGTAGCTGTTTCTGAACCGCCGAAAGGCGTAACAGATTCCCCGCCATTAGGTACGCCTTGAAGACGAAATCGTGTCAAAAAGAGAAGGTGGGTGCCATTAACGAGACCCTTCGGGACCACCCTGTACCCATGGACCTCAATTACGTGGTTTACTACTCTTTCTACATTTCTTCCAACAGTTTTTCTATTCAGTCACGACTTTATAATTAAAGAATCACCACTGACTTCGGGGGAGGACGCTTTATCAAAACTTTCCGAGATGTACTCTCACGAAAAACTTCACTTTCATTTAGTACAAGTATTTATGTGGATAAATCGAATAAAAATAAGTGTTATTTCAAGAAAATCTATTTAAGAATAAATAGTTTTTCAAGAAAATGCATTATTTATCAGTGTGACATAAACAAAGATAAAAAGAACCCGAGCTTTCTCATTTATCCATTTATGGGCTTCTCAACAGTAAAAAAAGTCCATTAAGCCGTGGCAATAAAAGAATAATGAGCCAATAAAAGAACTCTTTCAAGAAATCCACGCAAACAAAACGAAAATGTTTTGAAAAGCGATAATTTTTGGGAATATGATGACGAAAGTAAAAGTTACGTTCCTTAAACAAGTTTAGCAAACGACTAAGTAGTTGGTGTTGTATTTAAATTTTGTTATATTATAGACCAATTTTATGAACGTAATATAAGTGAGTCCAGTAGATTTATAAAGGGCTATTTCCAATGCTATAAAAAATCACTGGATAATCCGCTAGAACGAAAGAAACATCTAAATTATATAAATATAAAAAAGAAATCAGCCTCTGGCCCGCGGAGGCTAGGTCTAGAAGGGAAAAGTCTTAATTACCAGTAACTTACCAGGTTGCGCATAGGTCATACCAAGATCACACACGGACACCACCTTCTAATGGGGTGAGGCGACACATATAACATATTACGTAGAGCTAAGTTTGCAAAGAAAAAAATTCGTTATCCCGAATGACCTATGCGTGAACTTGAGGCAGCAGACACAAATATCTAGGGTCATAAATATTTTTAATTGTCTTTGTACCTTCATGTACTTTCGAAAGAATGTATTTATTTGCGTGAATAGAGGGGCTTATCCCTTATCGAGGAATATAGTCTCTGGGGGGTGAAAATGATTTGTGGTGTGTTTATGTAATTTATTAGCGTGAGTGGCAGAATAACTCCTTAATTACCTCGAGGATTATGGAATACTCTGGGGCAGTCTGAATGAATGTGTGAATGTAATTTATTAGCGTGAATGGAGTGGCATATCCCCAAATACCCCAGGCTTATAGAGTACTCTGGAGTGGCGTGATTGCTAACCAGACTTTCATGTTTTTGTATCTGTGTTTCTGCGTTTGTTATTTGTGTTATTTTATCCAGCATGCGGTCCTGAGGTACAGGGACGTAAGTGAGTGGTCGAAAACGTTTTAGACTTCGTATTTTAAGCCTTGGGTTATAGTTTATAGGTTACAACAGGTGTTCTAATAATCATTAATCCCCTAATTTGCTCCTCAGAGACCATATTAGGCGATTTTATTAAATTATTTGATAAATTACAGAAGGAAAGAAATAATAAGGTAACGAAAGAAAACATCTATGTTAGCTAAATTTCGAAAAAGAGAGGATGAAAATATTGTAATTTTTTTTTATTGATCGATAGTTTTTGCCTTATAGTGCATTAAACTGATAGTCTATTTCCTCGTTGGATTTTTGCAGCATATTACATAATCGGTATAAATCAGCAATCATAAATGAGCGCAACGTACGGACCCGAATAGAAATCCTCCCCAAACTGAATGAACGATTTTCATCAAATCGCTGTCACCCGGTTAACCGCAGTAATAATAAAGAACCCAGTTCACTTGGCTAGTTGCACAAGGCCCAAGGACGAAAACTGGGCCGGAGGAAGAAAGTCAAACAACCTGCTGACGGTCGAAAGCAATCCATTTTGAAAATTGAGCTAACGCGAGGCCGCCGACCTTTTATCTCTAAGAAAAAGATAGAAACGGCTGAGTGAAGGGAATAAGAAAATATTACCGATAGGCCCCTTTTGTTTCTTGTTCCACCTTGCTTTTCTACTTATCCAAATAGGTGGGAATCAATATTGACCTTTTTAAAGCCTCTCATTTTACTTTGTCTTGTTTCAACCTTGTACTAAAAATAAACATTTGTGTTTGATTTTTCGTATTGTTTATTCTGTTTTCTTCATTTTTCAGGTAAGCCAGGATTGTTGTGTTTACCATATTTGACAAGCAGTAAGTAAAGTTACGATTTCTATTCTGACGACTGACCCCTTACTAACAATTGAACTAACAAGGCAAGCTTCACGCTGAACTACATTGACAATGTAATAAAGTGTAAGTTAAACGCATGTGAAAATAAATGACTAAATTTGAACTTAATATCATCTTATCGATAAAAACGACGAGAAGACTGATACTGCTAACATAAGCATACAAAAAGAACAAACGATGGTTGAATGTGACCTGTCGTTTAATAAAAATCAATGGACAACGTGAAAAGATTTTCTAGAATCTTTCTGATACATGGTTTTATTTTGTGGCCAGCTCTCTTTTTCATATACCTAACTATAAAAAAGTTATTGTTTGGCCATTATGCCTGATCTGTACAATATGTTAGTTGTAGTCCGACATGATTTACTCTTAAGACCACCCCTTTTTAACTAAAGAAATGTAAAGGTTGTTTGTACCATGATGTCTATGCGTTAAGGAATAGAGTGGCAGGAGTGCCACACGATTTGATTGCTAGGCCTATTATTCGTTTTATATACTTGGCCAATAAAGTTTATTATTTTATGATTGTTCACTCCACGAGGTATTGTACAACGGGGTCTCACAGGGTGGGATCCTTGGACCAACCACTTTTTATTTAAATAAAGAAATATTAAGGCTTTCTCTAACTGTCCGTCCGCAGTGTTTAAATTACAATAAATAAGGTAAATGTAGAATTCCGCAGGGATCAATCCGAAGACTACTCTTTTTTTAATAGATACCTAATTGAAGACTTATACGGTTAACTTGAACCTGATTTCTCTCCATAATTTTATATAGCACAAGGCTTTATTTAAAATCCATTATTCTTTAATTTATACCTAACTAACTAAATGGTTCGGTGTTCTCAAAATGTTATGTCCTTGTTTTTACGGAAATGTAAAGTTCGAGGTCTCACAGGGAGTGACCACCCTTCAATAGCATATAAATAGCTAAACAAATATGGCTTGCTGGAACCCAAATGTCTTTCCTTTGTGTAGGTGTAGTGTAGCTCTTGGAGTCTCGCAAAGACTGAACCTTAGGCCAGCCATCTTTTCCATATACCTAACTAAAGAAATTTCATACCTTGATATTTCTTCACTATATAATATGGCTCCTGGGATCTGTTTAATATATAATTATAATATTATACAATACAATATTAAAGATGATTTAAGGTTTTTCTTGATGTTTGACGCTTTTTTGAAAGCGTAATATAGCTGCTGGGGCACCCAAGGTTTGATCCCTTGCCAATCTTCTTTTTTATTTACCCACCTAAAGAAATAGTTTATGGTTTGGCCTTGATGGCTCTTCTCTTTACAATATACCAGCTATGAGTCCTACATGGATTGATCCGAAAGCCACTTCTTTTTGACATATACTTAACTGATTAAAGAAGATTTAAGATTTTGATTATTGAAAGGTAAATAAAAATAAGGGTATTGATGTAATTTCATGCTGGAGCAGCACAAGTTTTGATCTTTTAGCCAACCCTGTTTTTCATATAGCTAACTAAGGAAAAATTATATATTTTTGTGAGATACCTTAGCACAATATGATAGTTGGAGTTGTACAGGGTATCTGTCTAAAAATGTTGTCATGGTTTTCTCTAAGCGTCATGTCACTCCATACCTTGTTGGAGGTAGGGTTCTACAGTGATTGATTCGTAGATCTCCTCGTTTTTAATATATTCTTAATTGAAGGGTATTAAGGTTTACATTGACTTTTCTCTATAGTGGAATGTAGCTTATGGAGTCCGACATGGTTTTATTTGAAGGCCATTATTCTTTAGTATATACCTATCCAAATAAAAAGTTTTTCATCATGCTCTTATCTATATAATAAGGATATAAGAAGATAGATATTGTTGCCATATTATATAGATGAGAGGCGTCACTGCCAGACCATACAAATTTCATTTAGTTACGTATATGAAAAAGAAAGCTGGCGTAAGGATCAAACCCTTTGACACTCCAGAAGCTATATTACACCTACACTTTTTAACTTCTAAGGGGAAAGACATCCCCGGTAAGGTTCTACAGGGTTTAGTCCTAAGCTTACGTCTTTGCATATGTCTTAGCCAGTAATTTTATTTCGTAGATTATTCACAAAAGCTGGCTACAAAGTCAGTCCTTAGGCCAATCGAATTTTGTATATATGTAGCTAACTAAATGAATTATATCAATTTCTCAAAATGTGATGTCATTTCACAAGACAATATAAAAATTTGATCTTGAGCTGATATCTTAACTACAGAAATAAGGTTTTGTAAAACTACGGTAATGGACTACCTAGCCTATTAGCTAGGGTCCAACAGTCTTTGAACCAAAAGCGACCCTTTTTTGACCTGCTACTAACGCTTTTTAGGTTTGCTCGTGATATATCATTATAATATAACAGCTACGATCTAACAAGGATCTTAAAGCCAACTCTTTTTGATGCCTTACCAATGAAAATTTATGGTCTTTTCAAACTGTGCCGTCCCTTGGAGTCTATAAAATTCCTAAGTTTTTTGCAGAAGTAAGAAAATAATCAAAATTAAGAGAAACCTTAAAAAAACCTTTCTTCAAGCTTTGATGCAACTTTGAATTATGCCTTTCTCGCGCCTCACCCTTTTGCTCAAAGTCAGAAAATGAGAAGAGACCGGTGGAATACAGGCTGATTCTTTTCTGAAACGAAGAATATAAAAATTGATCCCAAGGCCGTGTATTTCAAAGGTTATCTGGTTTTCAAATAAGGCAAAACGGTGATGTAAACCGCGGGAGTGAATGGATGAATCCGCCTTTTCAATGGGAACGTGGAACTTTCTTCAAAACCTCTAATCAATTTCGATATCTCTTACTTTCTGGGGATTATCGAATCATTGATATCTTACAATGCACAATCAAGAGACATTCGTTAATCAGTACGGCCAACTGGCCAAACAGTCAAGTTAAAACTTTCTTAAATTGTCGTATACTTTACTCATGCATTCTTTTCTCAGAGGGTTAGACCACCTGAAAAGATTAAAATTAGATTCTATACAAAATTACTGTTTGGCAGCGATTATAGAAACAGACAAATAGACGTTCATTAACCACTTACCTGGGCGGACCTCTCAATGTCGATCTCCGTGTGTATTGTAGAGATGGATCAAAATTATTAACTACTGTGTCCTAAAAATGAAATGTTCCGTCTAAAATAACTTTTTTTTAATGTTTCTGATCTTTCTGGTCTGCCTATTCGTGTATATGTTCTGTTTTTGGCGAAATACCAAACCATGCCTGACAGACCAGCGATTACAGGCGGACCGGAATCATCTAATACGACTAAACTGAAGCAATTCTATAATTTTTGTCATACCTAATGGTTAGTCTGTTCGTTTTACCTTGTGTACGCTTTTTTCACAATGTGCGAAATGGAAAAGTAGGTCTTGCAGACCAAAACAATGAAGTTAGTAAAACCCAGGTTGTTTCAAATCGCCCAAACCGAAATAGTTTAGACTTTTTTACTATCTACTGCAGTTGTTTAGAGCCTGGGCGGTTCTCTCTTGTGTATGCCCTGTTTATAATGCTGAACTGAGAACAAAATTGCATAAATTAAACAAACCACGAAAACCAGGCCAGGATGACTGAATGCCATTTACTGTTTAAAGATGTTGAAATGACAAAAACCTCGACCAAGCCGATGTAACATAATAGTGCTTGTCATATTTGGTGCGTTCTTTGAGAGAATGTCTTTTATAGATACCAGTTGGTCAAATCATTATTTTTTTACACCTTAATAGTGGAACCGTTTTTCTAATATGAGCCAGGCCAAACCAACTAGGGTAAGCAAACCAGGCTTCCATAGCTTCTTCTGATGGTAATATTCAGCTTTTTGATCAATAGCCAAAGTTTCCTCCAGAAAAATTTGTTGTCCAAGGTTTATATTAATTTTAGTCACTAGTTTATTTCCATACATACCAGCTCCTGGCGCATGAACGGCCTTAGAGCCATCTGTATACCAGATGCAATTGATATTGACCATCTTTTCTCCCAGACTCCTCTCCCGGTTATCATGTATCATGACGTCAACATCCACCCCCCTTATCTATCTTTAATTCCTCCCGAATTTGTTCTTTTTTGTACGAGTAGGCTAATATAGCCCTTCCCTGCATTAGCCTGTGGAATCGTGGATCCTTTCCGTGAATGAAGATTGGAGGCTTTTGCTAACATGAGCCATACCAAAGCAGACCAGGATGATCTGGGATTAAAAAAGTCAAGTAATTAACTAGTTTTCATCATCTTCAGTGTTTGGTCTGTGGGGTGCTTTTCCATATGTCGTTTATAAACGGCTAAGTGCCAAAACTGCGAGAATAGCTGGTCCAGGATGGACTGGAAAAGTCCAAACGGAAGTAATTTACAAATTTTTACTCTATGTCATGTGGTGGTCTGCGTTCCGTATGTAAGCCCTTTTTTATAAATTCCGAAAGGCAAAGTGGTTATATTTTATAGCTTAATGTTTAAACGCCTTTTTAAGAGGGCCAGATGAAATCTGCAAGTCTAAGCCATCGTTGAAAGGTGGACGTGGATGACCAGAGACGACCTATCTTAAGTAAAATAGGTTTTATCTTCTTTACTGGTTGAACTGAGCGCTTCTCTGTGTATGTCCTTGATAAATAATCCACAAATATATTTGGCAGAGCAAAACAGCGAGGCTAAATTGGTTAGGATAATCTGAAGTTATTACTTAGTTTTTGACGTGTCCTATGACTTTTCTCAAATGGCGCAGTATATTAACACCCCAACTATTACATCTTAAATCGAACACGTAATGCGTCTGCCCATTTGATTTGTTCCGTCGAAGACAGATGTCGAAAATTTATGTATCTCACCTATTTCCTCTGATATATTTTTTTCATTTTTCGCAATTACTCAAACAGCCAAGTGGTAAGAGATATTCTGACAGACCTATTCTCCTTATTGCGTCTTAATTGAACTTATTCATGTGACCAGCAAAATTAT